ATATGTAGAAATAGAATGGGGAGGACTAATACCACAGTATATGAGGTTGACATAAGGAATGCTGTTCCAGTAAAACAACACCCCAACAGGCTTAATCTTCTCAAAGCAGCATAGGCACGGAAGGAAGTGGAAGGATGCTCCAAGAAGACATTATCGAGCCAGATCAAAGCAAGTGGAGTTGTCCGATCGTGTTGGTTCCCAAACCTGATGGTACTCAACAATTCCATGTAGATTATCGGAAGGTCAATACCATGGCTAAAATCAGACTCATACTCAATTCCAAGGCTGGAGGACTGTGTGGAAGAAGGTGGACAAGCCACTTACATCACAAGGTTGGACTTACTTTGTGGTTACTGGTAAATACCTTTGTTAGAGAGAGCGAAAGAGGTTTCTGCCTTTGTAACCCCAAATGGGCTGTATCAATTTAAAGTAATGCCCTTTGGAATGAAGAACACACTAGCCACATTTCAAAGACTTACAGAGTTGTGGCAGGATTGACTAATTCTGCCATTTATATAGATGACTTAGTGATCTTTCGCCACTAGTCAACAGATCACATGACGCATTTGGCAGAGCTCTTTGAGAGCCTACAAAAGGCAAAGTTGGTCATAATTTTGGCAAAGACAGAATTTGCGAAGGTGGAAGTGATGTTCTTAGGGAACAACATTGGACGCGATTGGATGATACCACAGAACAAGAAGACAAAGGCCATCAAGGAATTTCCAAGACCATCCTCGAAGAAGGAGATGCTACAAATTTTGAGACTGAGAGGATTCTACTGGAAATTTGTACTAAACTTTAGTAGCGTGGCGGCACCGCTGATGGATTTGTTAAAGAAGAACACGAAATTCCGATGGACAGAAAATGCCAGGAGGCATTTGAGAATTTAAAAGCAGTGTTAACCACCGCACTAGTTTTAGCCATGCCAATTTTCTTCAAACCCTTTAAAGTCACTATTGATGCAAGCGATGTAGGGATTGGAGCTGTGTTGTTACAGGAAGATGACTATAGAATTGATAGGCCATTTATTTTTCAAAGAAACTCAATATCCACCAGAGAAAGTATTCAACCATTGAAAAAGAGTTATTGAGTATGGTACTGATCTCACAACATTTTAATGTTTATGTTTCAAACAATGTATCAGTCACTGTTGTTTACACTGATCACAACCCTTTGACATTTTTGGAAAGACTAAAAGTCAAGAACACCAGACTACTTCATTGGAGTCTTATGTTACAAGTATCTAATTTACAGATTGTATATGTTGTGGGTCATTAAAATGTTATTGGGGATGCATTATCATGGGTTTTAAAGGAAAATGTGTATATAAGATAGAAACAGTAGTGTTCAATGGTTTACATATATTTATATCTATATATACAGAATTAATGAAATGTGTAACTCTAGATTAATGACTTATGTACTTCGTAATAATGGCGTTAAGATTTAGAGAAAGAATATGAAGGCGTCTTTTCATAATGATTTTTTTTTCTTAATGGGGGAGGTGTTGTCAGGTTGGATAGAGTACTTGTGGATTGGAAGGCAGGACATTAGAATTAGTTGTTTGTAAAATGATAGAGGGGAAAAGTGTTTCAGAGATAGTAGGAACTGCGGATGCTGGAGAATCTGAGGTAACAAGATGTAGAGCTGGATGAACACAGCAGGCAAAGCAGCATCAGGGGAGCAGGAAAGCTGATGTTTCCCCTAGACCCGAAACGTCAGCTTTCCTGCTCCTCTGATGTTGCTTGGCCTGCTGTGTTCATCCAGCTCTACACCTTGTTATCTCAGAGGGGAAGAGTTTGTTGTCGCTTTAAAGGACTATGTGTTTTTCTAGGCTTGGAGATTAAAATAAAATGTCTGTGAGTGGCAGCAGGCACAGAGAGTTCCTGAAATTGAAACATTTGTATCAAAAGACTAGCAAACCAGGCAGTAGTTTTGTTTTGTTATTAAGGCAACCCCCAAGTTTGAATATCAGCCAATTAATTTAAATGAGGCGCTTAGAGACTAAAAACCAATTAAACTTAAGTCTGATGCCTTTGACAATCTAGGACCAATCCTACCGTAAGAAATTGACAGGTCAAAGGTATAAAAGAAGAAGGTATTTGAAAATCGGTATGAGAGCAATTACCATCTGTTCAAGTTAACAACTAGCAGCCCTAAAGAGAAAGTCCCTAGCTCTTACAGAATTCTCTAAGCACTCAGAAAACTATCATCTGACTAATGTTTCAGTGGCACTCTTCCCTAAGATTCCTGACACAAGAATTTGATGGAAAAAGGTGTTCCTGACTGAAGATCAGCAGAGAAAGCACAGAACATTCCGGAAGACGTATCCTGTCTGTAATTTCAAGAGACTAAGTTTTAAGTTCTTTTTTATTAATTTGGTTTGTATTAGTGGGACTTGCATTTATTGGAACAGCACACGATTAGAATTTTGTTTTATTCAGGAATAGTTAGTAGTTAAGGGGGAATTGTTTGGTTTGTTAGTAATTCTGTTAATTTGTTAGGTGTTAGAGTTAGATATATAAATTGTTACCTGTTGATTATAGAGTGACTATCAGGAGCTCATTTCATTTAACCACTCCTTTATAAAAGATTGGAGGGTGAGAGGCAGGTTATACCACTTTTCATATTTCCTTTAACAGATTATGAGGCAAGGCGAGCTTCTCTGGCTGTTTCGGTTTTAGTTATCAGTGGGGGGGGGTGGTCGAACTCTGCTTCATAACAAGGGTCATATCCTCTTAATATTGGGGGTGAAGGATTAAATGTTGTTGATATTGCAGGTGACAGCAATTGATCAGATTCTATTCAACATAAATAAACTGCATTTATATAGCATCTCTAAGTAGGTAAACATCCCCAGGTGTTCATAGGAATACAAGAGCACTCAAGCAGTGAGCTAAATGAATATATAGATACAGAACTGCATTCATTACAGCACTCTAACAAAACAGCCTGAAATGAAGAAATAAAAACAGAAAATGCTGCAGTAATTCAGCAAGTCTGGCAGCATCTGTGCAGAGAGAAACAGAGTCAATGTTGTTTTGGAACAGAAGATACAAGGGAAAGTGATGGATTTTATAACGTAAAAATGGTAGGGACGAGCAAATGGAATAGAAGGGAAGGTCAGGGAAAGATTGCAGAGCATGGGAGATTAGAAATCAAAGCTCAAAAGGTAAAAGAAGCGGTAACAATTGCAGAAACATGACAAAAACATACACTGAGAACAGGTATTAATAGCCAGTGTTAATATGAGGTGCAGCATGAAAGCAAGAGGTTGTTGAGCTGTTGGCGGTGTTGGTGAAGTGGATCAGGGTATCATGAAGGAAACAATCTCTTTGGAGTGTTGATGGGGAGGGGAGAGGAAGATGTGTTTGGTGGTAGCATCATGCTGAAAGGTGGAACTGATGGAGGATGATCCTTTGAATACGAAGGCTGGTGGGATAAAAAATGAAGCCAAGGGGAACTGCAACATAGCTCCAGGAGAAAGCGAAAGGAGTGAGGACAAAAATGCAAGAAATGCATTGAACACAGCAGAGCAAGCAATTGCAGAATCCAAGAAATAAAAGCTCAGTTTTCAATGATTTGTTCACATTTTTTCATATAACTTTATGGGTGCATCAAAAGCTACAAAGTAAACACAGAGAAGATAATGTCAGGGCAGGCAACATGTCAGCATTAAAGAATGTGAGAATCTCAGGGCGTGTGGAAAATTTCTATCCCTTAAGTCAATCCAAGTCAGAGGCAATGAGCTAGAGCAGAAGTTAGAAACACTCCCATACTCAAGGAAGGCAGAAAAATATCTGAGTAGTTTATTCTAAAATACTGTCACTGTACTTAGTGAGCTATAGATAGAGGAAACAAATGACAGTCAGTATAGAAGGGGGAAAATTGCAGAAATTTGTCCTGTCTAACCTGTACAATTTACTTACATAAAAGTAAAATCCCACAGATGCTGGAGATCTGAAATAAAAACAGAAAGTACTGGAAAAATTCAGCAGGTCTGGCAGCATCAATGAAGACAGAATTAAAGTTAGTGTTTTGACTTCTTCAAAATGTTGCAAAGACAATCTCAGACTTTCAGACAGTTGGGATGTCACAGAGAGACATACAAATGCAGAAATCTGGGATGTTGAAGAAATAACATGGTTTCAACAGGAGATTTTCATATACAGTGACCCGTTTATCAGAAACAACAACCTGAAATCCAACTGTGTTTTTCTCTTCACAGGTGATGCCTAACCTGCTGAGTATTCCCAGCACGTTTCTGTATTTATTCCAGGTTTCCAATATCTACAGCATTATGGTTTTGTGATAATTAATTTCTGGAATGTTCTTGTGACATTTTCTGGAATAACGCAACATGTTTTACTGTCAAAGTAATGGTAAGGCAGGTAGTGCTTGTTATTTGTGTGACGTTATGTGGGAACTTCAGATGATGTGCAGTTGAACGCAAATATTCAAAAATTATGATCTGGCTTGTGCTAAATTTATCCAATACGACTCAAGTCTTTTTCCACATTACTTCCTGGTAGGGTGGAATGTCAATGTAATAAAATGCATCATATTTTCTCCTAAACCTCAACATCCGCCTTGTATTGTGAAACCAATACGGCAGACAGCTTTCTAACTGACATTTTTAGATGTTATACAGGTCAAGAGATAATGATCAGCTTTTATCTTTTGTTCCTCCTGAGATCAAGTCTAGAAATCCATTAGCATTTTACAGCCTTATGATTATTGAACTAAATTCTTTCCAAGAGTTATCCATTTAACTAAACTTACAAAATCAATGCCTTTAGTCACTGTGCACAATCCCATCTCTCTGCTAGAAATGCTGATTACATTATCTCTCAGTTTTTCAACAAAAATACACAGAACCCAATGGAAATCGACAAAGGTCACTGTAAATCTTTGCATTGGTCTTGCTTTACTTTATACTGTATTTAAACACAGACACTTCATATCCTAAGCATCTCTGAACTAGTCACACTCATTCTTACCTGTTTTGCTTGGAGACTCAATTCTATCCTCATGTTCTGTTTTGTTGGTCAAGGTACTGGTGTTTGGCAAAGAGGTTGGGTTTGAAGATGATAGAATGGTGGTGAAAGCATCTGGTGTTGTAAAGGTGATAGTAGAGACTTTCATCATGGTGAACACTTTATGCTGTGGGCTATTTGGAAGAGACGTTGCTTCCACACTTGTGAAAGAACTGTTGGTGTCAATAGGATAAAGTGAAGTCGCGTGGGTCATGTTATTTGTCCTCGGACTGTATATTGTACTATTTACATGAGTTGTATTATCAGTCTGAGATGAGCTACTTGTTATAAGTGAATAACTGGTCGCTATGTCTGAACTATTCAAAGTTACATTGGGAGCTGATGTTGGTAATACGGTTGTAGCACCAAGATGTGGAGAGAAGCGTTGAGAAGTGGTGTTCAATGATGTGTTATCAACTACAGTGTTCGTCACGTGGCTTGTGTTTGTCAAGACAGTCGGAGTGGAGGAAGATAAAGGGTATGTTTCTACATCTGTTATTGGACTGGTTGCTGTTGTGTTTTGTAAGTTTGTGGTGAGAGACGTGTGGGAGCTAATAGTGGTAGACGAATTTTCTGGTAGAAATGTAGTTGCAAAACCACTTTGCTCTGTTCCGTGCGGAGCCGGGCTAGTAGTTGCTGGAAAAAAAGAGAAACGTTTAACTGGAGACGTGGCTCATTGGGAAAAAAAAATTCATCTTTGAAATTCAAAGATGTGGGATCTAATTTACTACATTGCTCGTCTAAACTCATTCTGTCAGTTCATTCTCCTCTCGAACCTCCTCCACTCAACTGACATTATTTCAGCTTGTTAAGCACTAGATCCTTAATATCGAGTAAAGTTGCCGGAAGACTTTGGCTGAGTGATAGGTCCTCAATGTCCACGACTGTGTGGTTCACTACAGAATGACTACATTCCGGACTGCAATCTATCGGCACAACACTTAAAATGTGAATATTTATTTCCTGATTCAATTAACATGGTCGAGGTTCATTCAGTAAAAGGATGATTTCCGTGTTTGATATAAATGCATCAGCTGTCAAACAATTTGGAATATGGACCTCAGAATATTCATTGATAATTTGCAATAAGTAGTTTTATTATATTGAAATTCAAATTGTATATTTTATCCTTTAGCTTAAATATAATAGCAGATCACAATTTAATAACATGCTGTACTTACCCAAGGAAAGAATAAAGTGGTGACATAAAATTAGCACGAACTTCGCCCACATTGTTTCTCAGATTATTCCGGTCGTTTCGGTTTGCCCACAAAATCAATCCAGTCGTTCAGTTAAAAGAAAACTTAAGACCAGGTCGTGAGATCTGAAATGCAAGAATTCGAATCTGCAATCATATCTCCCAGAACAGAAATCGCACAAATAGTGCGGTAAACAACGCAACCCATCTGATCAGCAACTGCGTGCAGCCGGAACTGAAAGGAGTCAGCCGATGTTTGTATCCTAACCTCAGTATAAACTGGAACTGTGCGTCAGATGGACAACAGACCCAACCCACTGCAATCTCCGACGCTGATCGGTCCACAACAAATCGAGCAAAAGCTAAATATCTTAACACGCTCTAGTGCAACGTTAAAAAAAGGGATTGCTAACAAAAATCATGAAACACTTTGCTATCTGTTAGTGAGTAACCTGTTGCAGGAGGTGTTCCCATGTACTTGCGGATGTGCTGCAACATTTGCTGGTGTCCCAACCAACCATGCAAAGCTGTCTGCAACACAACACAGCGTTTGCACCAATGAGGGATGTACAGGCCGGGGTCAGCTCATCGCCTACATTAGTTACAACGGCTGCTGTTAGCCGCTGTGTACAGAGGATCTGCCAGGCAGTTGCCCCAAACTCGGGCTTTAATTAATCTCAAAAGGTGCTTTGCTATAACTTCAGGCTTCAACATCCTCACCTCTCCCTCGGTCTGCCCTTGCTAATAAACAGTTAAATTTCTAACTTCTGTCAGTTCTAGTGGAAGGGCACAGACCCGACACGTCAACTCGCTCTTTCCACGGACGCTGTCTGGTTTGAGGTGTATATCCACCTTTTGCTGATTTTATTTAAGGGTGTTAAATGTTTAGAGCCCAGGCCCTGTGTGTGATTAATGTTGGCGATCATCGAGTCCGCTGTAATTGTCATCGTGTTTTAGAATTGCATCCAAGGTATAACCTAGAATATAATTTTTTCTTTAAAAAATGTATTACAAAAACAACAGAGGAGTCGTTATCAGCATCTGCCACAAACTCTTTAAAACTCTCTCCCACCAACCGTCCTTGCCATTAACTAGGCTGAAACTAATTTCAACCTCAACAACCGATAGTTTCATCTTTACCTGGGAAGAGCATCTTAACCTCGTATGACTCATCCAAATGCCTTCTATTAAAATTCCTCAGCAATGCATTTTTTCATACATCTCATCATATCGATCCCAACCTGCGCCATATCTCTACTGAGCGATCTGCCATGACCGTACAAAGCAACATAATTAAATGATCACGGTCATACAGTCAACAGTTAGAAACATGTAGTAAAATGAATGACAGCCAAAGATTTTTAATAATACTAGCTGATCTCCCGTGCATTGCGCACAAGGATTGAAAATTAAAAGTACTCTTTTTATGTAAAATGTGATTAGGGAGTGGCAGAAAAGTGGCTATAAGAGTACAAAAGGAACAAGGAGAGCGATGAAGTAGGCTGATGGATACAGCAGTGGGAGAGAGACAGGACAGTAGAATGAGATGGGAGGGCTGCAAGAAGCCAGAGAGCAGGATAAAAGAAAGCAGTAGGAAGGAGGGGAGATGAAGATGGAGCTAAAGAAGTAGTGAGTTAGATGCAATATTTTTACTTCTTGCAAACGTGTAAATTAGGAGCAGAAACAGACCAGTTTGCGTTTGATAATTACATGGCTGGTCTGTTTGTACTTTGACTTCCACATTGCCATCTGCCACGGGATAATCTTTGAAACCTTTGACTCATAAGAATCTATCTACAGCAAGCTTAAAAATATTCAATGTCTTCTGAGGCAGAGAGTTTCAATGTTGGACAAGTGATTAAGAATTAAAATGGGATACTTGCCTTTATTAGTCAAGACATTGAATACAAGAGTAAGGAGGCTATAATGGATTAATGTGCGCAATTCTGGTTGCCACACTACTGGAAGGATGTGATTGCCCTAGAGAGGGTGCAAAGCAGATTCACCAGGATGGTGTCTAGACTATGAAGAAAGACTAGATAGGAGAGGTAGAAAGGCTGACGTTTCGGGCCTAGACCCTTCATCAGAAATGGGGGAGGGGAAGGGGGTTCTGAAATAAATAGGGAGAGAGTGGGAGGCGGATAGAAGCTGGATAGAGGAGAGGATAGGTGGAGAGGAAACAAACAGGTCGAAGAGGTGGGGATGGAGCCAGTAAAAGGTGAGAGTGTAGGTGGGGAGTTAGGGAGGGTATAGGTCAGTCCAGGGAGGAGGGACAGGTCAAGGGGGCGGGATGAGGTTAGTAGGTAGGAGATGGGGGTGCAGCTTGAGGTGGGAGGAGGGGATAGGTGGGAGGAAGAACAGGTTAGGGAGGCGGGGACGAGCTGGACTGGTTTTGGGATCCGGTAGGGGGAGGGGAGATTTTGAAGCTTGTGAAACCCACATTGATACCAATGGGCTGCAGGGTTCCCAAGCGGAATATGAGTTGCTGTTCCTGCAACCTTTGGGTGGCATCGTTGTGGCACTGCAGGAGGCCCAGGATGGACATGTCGTCTGAGGAATGGGAGGGGGAATTGAAATGGTTCGCGACTGGGAGGTGCAGTTGTTTATTGCGAACCGA